TGATCCTGGAGTCCCTGGATCGAGTCCCACATCCGGCTCCCTGCTCAGCAGGGAGCCTGCTTCTGCCTCTGACCCTCCCCCCTCTCATGTGCTCTCTCTCTCATTCTCTCTGTCTCAAATAAATAAATAAAAAAAATCTTTAAAAAAAATAAAATAAAATAAAATAAGTAAAGTGTTAAGATCTAGCTAAGGTTATATATAATTGATTGCTCTCCCTTTTCCTCCCCCTTCACTTCCTTATCTGATTGATAACCATTATGCTGATGTTACTTGTTATCCTTACGCATATTTTTATTCTTTTATATAATATTTATATTTTAACACTATATAATTTTGTGTATTTTAAAAATGTACATAAATATGGCACGTTGAACCTGTCATATGCTATTTTGTAAATGATTGTTTTCATAATTGTACAAAGTAGATCTCATTTTCCTAATGATAGACAATTAGATTGCTTTTTTTGTCTATTATGAATACAAACAGTACTAGAGTGAGCAGTCTTATAAATATCTTTCTGAGTACTTGTGTATTTTTCTAGGGTAGACTCCTGGAAGAGGAATTGCTGGGTCATGTAGACTGGTATACAGAATCTTTAACTTTACTAGGCATTTCCAAATTGCTGTCATATACTTCCAACATGCTGCAAAAGTAGACTTTTAAGTCTTTTGATGATATGATGAATGTGAAAGTGTCTTTTAAAAATTATTCCTTCAAAAATTTTCACTGTTTCCTTCATTTGAATGTTAGGGATAGCTTATAGGTCCCTTGAAAAATCCTGTGATTACATTTTCCTTTTCCTGATTAAGAATATGTTTTTGGCCTTGTGTATTTCTTTTTCTATAAATATCCTATTCATGTCCTTTGCCCATTTTCCCATTGTTTTGGTGTTTTTACTATGTAGGAGTACTACTTCTTTATTTTAGATCTTTTCATTTTGTGTTTGGTGACTTAATAGAATATTTTTAAAAAATTAATAGATTTACAGATTTATATTTTTTGTGTTGCTTTTCCTGTCTTGTTCAATGCATCATTCTCTGCCTTGATGTCATTAAGCTGTACTTCCATGTTTCCTTCTAAAAGTTTAAAGTTTGCTTTTCACACTTAATTCCCTTATCTAGATTCAATTTGGGGCCTCTGTGTGAGAGTCAGGCCTAACTCTATTTTTTTTTACATAGGTACCTGATTGTCTCACCATGGTTTATTGAATATGACAATTATTTATTATTATTATTTTTTGCTTATTTATAATCCTATCTCTGACCTATACCAAGCCCTTTATGTATTTTCTTTTTTGTCATGTTCTTTTAAAGTTTTCTTGACCATTTTTGGGGGGGTTATCTTTCTTTTGATTTGTAGAAGTTTTTTATGTATTCTGGATTTGAGTCTTTGAGAAATATATAATACATATAATCTTCTATTCTGTAGCTTTTCATTTCCTTAAGGGCATCTTTTGGTGAATAGCATTTGATTTTAATGTACTTCAATTTTTTTCTTAAGATTTTATTTATTTATTTGACAGAGAGCACAAGCAGGGGGAGTGACAGGCAGAGAGAGAGGGAGAAGCAGGCTCCCCACTGAGCAGGGAGCCTGATGTGGGGCTCCATCCCAGGACCCTGGGATCATGACCTAAGCCGAAGACAGACACTTAACTGACTGAGCCACCTAGGCGCCCAGTGTACTTCCATTTTTAAATCTTCTTTTATAGTTAATTATGATTGGTGATCTGTTCAAGAAATCTTTCTCTACCCCAAGATCATATATTATTGTCCAGTAATCTTTTTTTTTTTTTTTTGTCTGTCAAAGCTATAATCTACCTGGAATTGATTTTTGTTTATGATGTAAGTTAGGGGTCAGGATTTCTTATTTTTCTATATGGACATCCTTTTGACCAAACACCATTATTCAAAAGACCAACCTTTGTCTACTGTGCTACAGTGTCAGCTTTGTCATAAGTCAAGTAACTGTATACACATCAATCTGTTTCTGTGCTTTTTTTTCTTAAAGATTTTTTTTATTTGCGAGAGAGAGAGAGTGTGAGCAGAGGGAGGAGCAGAAGGGGAGGGACAAGCAGACATGGTGCTGAGCGCGGAGCCCTACGCACAGGGCTCGATCTCACGACCCGAGATCATGACCTGAGCTGAAACCAAGAGTCAGATGCTCAATGGACTGAGCCACCCAGGTGCCCCAGTCTGTTTCTGTTTTATTCCACTGTGGGTCTTTGTGCCAGAACCATAGTAGTTTATTTATTATAGTATTATAATATTGAGCCTTTCAGTCCATGAACATCGTATATTCTTTCACTTAATTAGGTGTTCTTTAATTTCTTTCAAAAATATTTTGTAGTTTGCTGTGTAGAGGTCTTGCTCATTTAGTTAGATTTATTCCTAGGTATTTGATTTCTTTTGATACTGTGGTAAATTGTACCATTAAATTTTCTATTTTCAGTTACTAATTGCTAAAATCTAGGAATAAAGTTGACTTTTGAATACTGACCTTCTATCCAAAGATCTTGCTTAATTCATTTATTGTTTATAATAATTTTTATAGACTTCTTTAAATTTTCTGGGAACATAATCATGACATGTAGGAATAATGACAGTTGTATTATTTTCTTTCCAATGGTTGTACCTTTTATTTCCTTTTCATGCCTTTTTTTTTTTTTAATGAGTAGATACTGAATTTTATCAGATGTTTTCTCTGTGCCTTTGGAGATCATCTGATTTGTCTTCTTTATTCTCTTAATGTGGTGAATTACATTGATTGGCCTTTGACTATTAAGCCCACCTTATACTCAAAAATTCCACATGTTTATGTAGCTTTGGATTGGTTTATTAATATTCTAAGGAGTTTTACATATATATTTATGGATGAAATTGGCCTGTAATTTTTCTTTCTTGTAATGTTCTTGTCGGGTTTTTGCTATCAGGATTCGGTTGGATTTTTGAAATGTTTTGGTAAAGAGTTGCCCTTGATCTGTTCTGTAGAAGAGTTTTTGTAAGATAAGTGCTATTTCTTATATATTTGCAAGAATCAGTGGGGAAATTATCTGGGTTTGGAGTTTTTCTTACAGAAGGGCTTTTAATTACAATGTAGTTTCTTTAATAGATACAGGATTATTCAGATTATCTATTTCTTGTATCATTTTTGCCAATTTTAAAAAAGCTGTTCATTTTATTTAAATTTTTGAAATACTTGGTTAGGTCACATATTTGGTTGTTTACAATAGGTTTATTATTTTTAAATCTCTGTAGGAGAATTAATTTTATTTTATCATTTTTATCATTCTATTCATGCGAAGTTTCTTTCTTTGCTTTCACTGTGCTAAGCTCTTTCTGTTCCAAGAAACGTAGATTTCACTCAAGTTCCTTCATTTTCTTTTTTTTTTTTTTTTTAAGATTTTATTTATTTATTTGACAGAGAGAGAGAGAGCGAGAGCAGGAACACAAGCAGGGGGAGTGGGAGAGGGAGAAGCAGGCTTCCCGACCCTGGGATCATGACCTGAGCTGAAGGCAGTCGCTTAACGACTGAGCCACCCAGGCGCCCTCAAGTTCCTTCAAATAATGGAGACATATGATGCTCATTTTACAGCTACCTGCCATAAGAGAAAGGAATCACAGGGAGAACAAATCTCTAGTACAGCTTGGCTTTAGTGAAACTGGAAATATCTAGTTAATTTAGGGTATAAGACAACTTTAGAGATGGAAACGGTTTTCTTTTTATCCCCTCAATAGTAAGACTTTACAATATTTTAACTGAGACCCTCATTATTAGCATGAAGTTTCTCACCCCTCTGGACTCTCCTCTGCTTTTCCTTCCTTTTCATTGCTAACTCCCCCTTTTACTCCCTGTTCTTTTTTTTTTTTTAAAGATTTTATTTATTTATTTGACAGAGAGAGACATAGCGAGAGGAGGGAACACAAGCAGGGGGAGTGGGAGAGGGAGAAGCAGGCTTCCCACTGAGCAGGGAGCCCGATGCGGGGCTCGATCCCAGAACCCTGGGATCATGACCTGAGCCGAAGGTAGCCGCTTAACGACTGAGCCACCCAGGTGCCCCTTACTCCCTGTTCTATGTAATTTTTCTTCATACCTTTTGTTTCCTCATAACTTTTTATTCATGGTCCCCAGTGCTTTGTGGCCTTGTTCTGTGTTCCGCCAAATTGAATCAGTGCATGGTACTCAGTTTAAACCCCCAAGAGATTATTTGATTAGTTTCAGAAGCCCTTTTATGTGAGGCCACCTCTAGGGCTGTTGGTAAGTTACACAGTGGCCACTCTTGACCAGGCAGGTATTGCCCAATGTGGTGGATTCACAGAGCACATGGATGCCTCGGGCTCACTCCTCTGCAGAGGGCTACAGCTGGACAATTTCCCTTAGGATGAGTCTGTATGTGGCAAGTACTATAATTGGTTAATAGAGGCAAGTTCTAGAAATTAAATTAGTACAGGTGTTTGAGCTTTTCTGCCTCCTTTCTATGCTCTGGTGAAATGCCAGTGAAAAATGCTGATAAAGCTGATATCTAGAATTTGTTACTATAAACCTCTTTAGTAGTCATCCATCTGTCACTGAGACAGTTCTTGTGCTACCAACCCACATTAGGGCCTTGAGCAATTAGCTATATAATGTGTGTAGTTTTAGGATGGATAAATGAAAATTGATAGATTTTAAATGTAAGCAATATAAAAAACACACACAGAAGCAGATTAATGAATATTTAATGAGAAAGCCATAGTAGTTATCTCATTTGCTTGCTCCTGTTGTTTCCTTTTTCATATGCAGAAACAATCCTGTGCGTTGCTCAGAATTCAATGTTCTGCAGTTACACAGTTCAGGTTGAAGACAAGGAGGTCCTCCTTCCCTTTGTGATACTTAATTGGTAACATATTTAAATACCAGAAAGCCATCTTTTGCCTAATGCATTCCCATTTATGGGCTAAATTATAGGCAGGGCATAAAAGCCCTTTGGGTACAATAAGTGAAATTGCTTTTTGATTTTCTAGGGGGATTCAGAGAGAGTAATGATAATCACTGGACCAAACATGGGTGGAAAGAGCTCCTACATAAAACAAGTTGCATTGATTACTATCATGGCTCAGATGGGCTCCTACATTCCTGCGGAGGAAGCAACAATTGGAATCGTGGATGGCATTTTCACAAGGTAAAAACATTAGTTCTATTTGAATATATTTCTGAAAATAAAGCAAGCCCACATTGTCACATGAACTTTCTGTGTACATATTTAGATGAATAGATTTGCTCTTAAAATATTTAAAGCTTAGGAGCGTAAAGAAATCATTTCATCATGAATATTAATATCAGAAGAGACCAAGGAGAGCATTTTGTCCAGTTATTTTTAAGTTATTTTTAGTTACTGAGTTCTTTAACAAAAATCTTACATAAAAGATGAATATTTAAACATAAAAGCAGATCTCCTCTGCCTGAGTCAGAGTGGAAGGCTTGCAGACTTGCCTGGATAGGCTCTGCGGAGAACAGTCTGGAAACCAGTCCACTCTCCTTGTTTTATAGGTGGGGGACTGAGAACAGACTGAAAAGGACACTGGCCCAAGATAATTTAATTCATATTCTTTTCTTTTTTACTCTAAGAACATTACCTACAACCAACTAGGTCTTACCCTTAATTTATAATCCCAAATTGCATGTCATATTAGGAATACGGGTGAAGTACCTGGTCTCACTAATAGGAAAATCATAGTTTAATCTCTTTATTCAGATTTATCAGTTCTTAAAGTATTATATTTCTTGCATGTACATTTTTGGAAAAATCAAATATAGTCTATACGTGTGTAGTCAAGCTTTGTGTATAAGTGTTTGATTTATTGTCTAGCTGCATATTTATATGATACTTGACTTTGGAATTACATCAGAATATATCACATGCTGATACTGATGCACTTGAGTAGACATTAAAATACTTTACCTGAAGAGCTTGGTTTTTAGTCTGAGAGTAAGCAAAGCAAAGAGACCTAAATTCTTTTTGATGCCATATCACAAACAGATGTTATTTTGATCTCCGTATATTTGTAGATCAACTCAGTATAAGAAATTTAAGGAATCTGTCTTTACTTTTTAAATTGTCATTAATTTTCTATTTTGTAAAAAAAAAAAATGTGTGTGTATGTATATGTGTGTGTGTATATATATTTTTTATTTTGGTTACATTATTAGGGAGAGTGACAGAGAAATTTAACAAAGAGAAAAAAGATTAAAAGGGGAAGAGAAAAATAAAAAGAAAGGAAAGGACTTCTTGGGCAAAGTAAGGTGATTTGTCTGAAAGAGAATCTTGTTAGTGAGCAGAATGTCAATTACAGATGTCTTTAGATACAAGTAATGGAAAAGAAAATAAGAGTTTACTTTTCTCATACAGTGAGAAGGCTTGGGGTGGGCTGCTGCTTCAGTGGTTCTGCAGTTTTGCTGGCCTTTCCCTCATAGTTGCAGGATAGTTGCTGTGACTCCAAACATCACATCACATGAGGAAAAAGGAAGACAGAATGCCACAGTCCCCCCCACGCACCTTCTCCCCCCCCCCCCCCAGGAAATCAGTACCTTTTCAGAAGCCTCCCAGAAAACTTCCACTTATATTTCATTAACCAGACCTATTTCTCATGGCTATAATTGCAAGGGAAACAGAAAGTAAGAATTTGCTTTTGTCCAGCTTTCCTCATGGAGTTAGGCAAGTGTTTGGGAATGGATCCAAAGGTAATCAGAAAATAGTGTTTGCCTAGAAAAAATGAATTCAGTGATAATAATAAAAACAGCTAAACTTTATTATAATAATAACATATTTAAAATAGTAGTGTAACAAACATTTTTATCTATGTATAGGGACTGCCCTATGCCCTCTATATTAAATACTTTATATAAGGTACATTCCGTGATAGCAAGTATAAGCCTTCTGAAAAAGGACAAACCACACTAATTTCAAGAAATTTGGGTATTTATTCATTTTCATATATTCATTAATCCAACATATACTAACTTAGCATCTAACATATGACAGGCACTGGGACTACAATGCAACGATAGTTTCTGTTCCGGTAAAACTTACCTGGTGGAGAAGATCAGCATTAACCAAAAAAATTGTAAAAAAAAAAAAAAAAAGTGAAATTGCAGCTGTGACAAGTCTACAAAGGCTATGTACAAGATGCCGTGACAGCCTGTGAGACTGGGGTATGATCTGGACAGGGGAAGGCTTCCCTTAGCAAGTGATTCTTGAGGCCTGTCTGAAGGGTGAGCTAACCAATCAAAGGAAGAAAGAGCATTTCAGACAGAGGAAGCATGTGTGCAGAGGCCCTTAGCATTTTTTTAAAAAATCGTAGTTAAGGGACTGAAGAGTGATTCTGTATGGGAGCATTATTCTATATGAAGCTGAAGAATAGGTAAGGGCAAGTTACACAGAGTGTAGAGTGTTAGGAGTTTATCCTAAGCCATGGGAAACCATTAAAGGGTTTAGGCAAAGCTTGGCATGATCACATCTACATTGACTACAATGCAGGGAATGTTTGGAGGAAGGACACAGTAGTAACCTTATCAGTAGTGGTCTTAGGGAGAGGTATCAGTAGTTTGGATGAGGTTTGTAGTGTTAGAGTGGAAAGGAATCGCATTTGAAAGGTGTTCAGGAAGTAAATCAACAGGACTTGGTGATAGAAGGGAGATGCAACTGAGATAAATGGAGTTGTCAGAGATGACAGTGGTTTGTGCATCTGGTTGGACAATGCTGGCATTTACTGGAAGAGGGTGGTTTTCTTTTTTCCGTAGATCCTGACTTTATTTTTATATGTAGTAAGTAGAAATACTCTGAAACATTTGAGGGGAGCTGTCATATAGACAGTTGTGTATAGAGTCCAGAGGGAGAGATGAAAGGTAATGATACAAATTTGCTGTGAGACATTTTTGTATAAGTGGTAAGTTAAGTCTTGGGTGTGGGTGAGATCATCTCAGCAGAGAGTATAATAGAGAAAATAGTGTTCTAAGAATGCCAACATGTCATCGATGAGTAAGATGATAAGCTTACTTTTGTCCCCCCCCCGACAGGGGGACAAAAACCAGGATGTGACATGGTCAGGGGAAGACTCCTCCAAGGAGAAAGGAAGTGGCCAGCAGCCCAGAGCGGTCAGGTGAAATGAAGCCTGAAAAGTCAACTTTGATCTTGATAAAGTGGTGGTCATTAGTGACCTTAGCAAGAGCTATTTTGTTTGTTTTTTTTTAAAAGATTGATTTATTTGTTTTAGAGAGGGAGCATGAGTGGCAGGGACGGAGGGAGAGGGAGAGAGAATCTCAAGCAGGCTCTGCACTGAGCGCAGAGCCCAACGCAGGGCTCAGTCTCATGACCCTGAGATCACGACATGAGCCAAAACCAATTGTACGATGCCCAACCAACTGTGCCACCCAGGCGCCCCAGCAAGAGCAGTTTTCGTGGAGTGGTGGGACCATACTCCAGTTAAAGATGGTAAAGGAGTGAGTGAGAGCTCAAGAAATAGACTGTCTAGGTGTCACCAGGCAGCTTGGCTGGGAGGAGGAGGTGAGAGATCCAGTGAGGGACTTGTTTTGTTTGTTTTTGAATGGTAGACTTGAACATGTTTCAGTGGGATATCCAGGGGGATGTATTAGACCCATAAATTTATGATTTAAAAAATGCATTGATTACCTTGGAGGATATTAGAGTAAGTTAATAATGATATTTACAACAAAAAAATCATTAATCACGTTGGAGAATGAAAATTGAAAAATAAAGAGAATATCAAGCAGCTATTCTCTTTCCACACAGGTGATGAGAGGAAGTTTCTCATTATAGAAGTACCCGAGCTAATAAGCAAAGAAGGAATGGTAGAATTAGAGCATCACCCTTTTTTGCAACCCCTCCAAGGGTGGAGTTTTTCCAGAGAAGTGAATGAAAAAGCAGAGGGAGTTTAAGAGTTAGCAAGTGGGGGCACCTGGGTGGCTCAAGCTGGTTAAGCGTCTGCCTTCGGCTCAGGTCATGATCTCAGGATCCTGGGATCAAGTCCCGCATGAGGCTGCTTCTCCCTCTCCCTCTCCCTCTGCCACTCCCCCTGTCAAATAAATAAATAAAATCTTTAAATCTAAAAAAAACAACAACAAACCAGTTGGCAAGGGTATGTTGGGAATAATAGACCATGGAACATCAACAAAGAAGAGGACCCAGGGGAAAGCACAGTGGTAGGTGGGCTAGAGTCCTGAGAGCTTTGAACAGCCATTGTAGAGGTGCTGCGTGAGCCAGAGTGGGCAGCTTTTGAGGTGAAATAGTTCATGTCTCTGATGAAGTCCAAGATGTGCTCCTGGTGCTGGACGGCTGAGGTAGAAGAGAGGAGGAGAGGTGGCTAAGAGGAGATCTAGGATTATGTAGATGGTGTTGGCTGGTTTAGCTACATGGACCCTCAGTGCTACCAGAAGAGTTGGCAGAGCTCTTGAGGCAGAGAAGAAAATATACACCAAATGTTAACAACTTTGATGAATGAGGGGTTGTGATTTGAAGTTGAATAGCTGACAACATGGACAAAGGGAAGATGTTATGGTCAAATGGTATAACCTCAAAGGAGCTATTTTTATTACCAGAAGGTAGAGCCTAGAAATAAGAGTGGTGAGCAGGAGAATCCTTGCGGTATTGCAGGAGGTGAGGAAATGAATAGCTGATTTTGAAGAGGGTTGCAGGGGAGGGACTGGAGAGGAATGGGAGGGAATACCCATGTGGAGAAGAGAGCAAGGACACAGGAGAGTTGGCTGGCCATTTGGCAGTATTCCAGGGTGCCCAGTGTCTGGCTTTGGGAGGTGAGTGAGGTGGAGAGTTGGATAAAACCTGGCAAGTGTAGAGCAATTTGGACTTGATGTTGGCTCCAAGAACCACAGAGGAGGACACACAGTGTTCTGACTGATAAAAACATGGGAAGGACAAGGGTGGGGCCTGGGACGAGTCTCCCCAAGCTTGGACAGTGGTGGGTCTACAGCTCTAGGTGCCACACACCACAGCCTAACTGGGCTGGCTGGTTGTGGTCCGAAACTTGAGACACATACCGTGTCACCTGGACTCCGACGCTCCTCAGTCAGGCAGGAAAGAAGCAGGTAAAATATGCTTGTGTGATTGCATTGTCCCCAGTGGATATTGCTGAACGCACTCTTTGACCA